CAACGGGTGTTACTGCCACAGTCACCACTTGAGGTGACTGCACATGCTAAAAAGGGAAATAAACTAACAAGTCAACTTCATTAAAACTTAAAGCTTGGGGTACAACTCAGGTGTCCAGCACCAACAAAAGATCATACTAAATCATTACAAACGACTAACATCAACATTAGTATCAAGTCAATAACATCCAAAAAGATACTAACTAAGATCTAACATCTCATCTACGCACTACAACTACTCGTGCGGTTATAAAAACAGTAAAAAATAAACTGTCGTATTCAAATTCCATCGCCAGGTTTTTGTGGTCTGTTACCACTTTACCCAGACCTTCTAGCCATTGGACACCCAAAATGGCATCTGCTCCAGAAAACTCCAATATATGGAAGTCTGCGACAAAGTCTCCTCCTTGCATACGAAATTGCACATTTCGGCATATACCGTCACTATGGAGTTTTTCGCCATTGCCCACTGCGACAGAGAAGCAAGTCGTTTCATCAATGGGTAAGTGAAGGAACCGTGCAATCTTTGGTTGGAGGTAATAATGCGAGCTCTCTGTATCAACAAGAACGCTGAAGGACTGGTTCCCACGCTGGCGTTCAAGCGAAAAGTGCGAGGTCCCATGGTCCCAACTAGAGCATGTAACGAAATCTCAGGTTGATCATGTGGTGGCTCTAGTGTTTTGGGCTCAACGACGTCAGCCTCATACACCACGTCATCTGCCGCATCAGCCGTCACAGGTGGCTCATCCACCAGAAGTAGAGGTGGAAATGGGCCAGGCCCCTCCACAGGGGCCCATAGCCTGGCCTATTTAGGGCTTGGCCTGGCTTTAATAAAACAGGCCAGGCTTAAGCATATTTAAAAGCCTGTTTAGGTAAATAGGCTCAGGCCTATATATAAAAGCCTGGCCAACAAGCCTGCAGGCCTGGCCTGTTTATATATAATATATATAAAATATATATTTAATATTTAATTATTATATATTACATTTTATACCTATTATCTTTTAATATTTATAATATAACCCAGTATATATATATATATATATATATATATATATATATATATATATATATATATATATATAACTTATCTACTTATCTAAATTTCTAATAACCCTAACCCTAACCCAGCGTCCCCGCGACTCTGCGTGTCTGCGTTTCTTCCCAACATTCGAAATCGCCGACACACATGAACAACACTCCGGCGACTCCAGCAACTCCAGCGAGGCTTCGAGCGGAGAGGCGGTGCGGCAAGGCGAGGCGAGGTAGTGCGGCGAGGCAGCGCGACTGCAAGTTGGAACGTTCAGGCTACTAGCGACCGGCAACCGGCGAGGTTAGTGAAGTTAGTGTTCTTAATATACCATTTTTTTTTATATTTAATATACTATTTTAGTGTTTAATATACTGTATAATATACTGCTAATCTGCTATATACTGTATAGTTAATCTGCTAATCTGCTAGTGAAGTTAGTATTTAATATACTGTAGTTTAGTTTAGTTTAGTTAGTGAAGCTAGTGAAGTTAGTGTTTAATAAATTATAATCTTTAGTCTAGTTATACTGCTAGTGCTAATAAATTATAATCTGTTGTTTTAGTTTAGTTTAGTAATAAACTGAGTGTTGTTTTAGTTTAGTAATAAATCTTTAGTTTAGTTTAGTAATTAATCCGTTGTTTTAGTTTAGTTTAGTTTAGTAATAAACTGAGTGATGTTTTAGTTTAGAAATAAATTGATTAGTTATAAATTATAATCTTTAGTTTAGTTATACTGCTAATAAATTATAATCTGTTTAGTTATACTGCTAATATTATATACTTAGATAGTTAGATGTTACTTTGTTTATGTGTAATTGTGTATTGATGGTTAAATATTTATAAAATTATATAGGATGACAAGTAACAATACAAATGAATCTATTCCTGAAAAAGTTAATGTGCAAGTTACAACTACAACTCCATCAATTTCTTAAGTCAACCAATTGAAATTAACAATTCTGAAGAAGTCAATAGGGTTGATAATGATTCAATCTTAACAAAAAAAAAAACGGAAAAAAACATCTGCGGTATGGAATAATTTTGAAGAAATTGTACTTGCTAATGGTACAAATGTGTTTGTATTGTAAGGAAAAGTACTCTACTCATGGAAAGGGTGGAAGCACTAGCTATCTTAAGAGGCACTCAGAGATTTGCTTGCAGTGCAAGTTGCATATCTCTCGAGATAATAAGCAAACAACGATACAATTTCGTCCGCCTAGTGAATCTGGTGGTAATCCTTTTATTGTTTCTAATGCTAAATACTCCAATGAAAAGATGAGAGAGATTATTGCTAGTGGAATCATGGTGCATGAGCGACTATTTAGCATCGTAGAGGATGACATGTTTGTTAGGAATAAAGTGTAATGGTTTTGATATGCCAAATTTGTATTTGTAGATCCCCCAATTTTATTTATAGGTCTAGTAGAGTCTTAGACCATGATTGGGAAATTATTTAAATTGTAAAAGAGAAAAACAGAGGAAGATGCATGAAAATAGAAGAAGAAGATTTAAAGCCTAAAATCAAGAATTTGTCTGGAGAAAATGACAAATTGAAGAAGAAGATGAATGATACAATAATTCACGTCAATGCTACTCAAAGAAGATATCCCAGAAGAATTTTCGTGAAGAAAATTAATATTGGAAGAATGCATGAAATTGACTTGGAGATCAAGCATCTATGGAAAGAAATGAGTACATCAAATGTGATTGGAGATTTAATCAAAAGCTGTACGGTAATCAAAAGCTGTACGGATGAAGTGGATGATGCTTGATATGTTATGTGAAAGGCTCAAGTTTGAAACTCATCATCAACAATTTTACAAGGTAAAATTTGAGAAGCCAAATTAAATTAATCTGATGGAGTTTTGGGCGCTAGTTTAAGCTTTGGGTGCCGCAATTGATTCCCAAAGGAATTGGGAGCCAGTTCGAAGCAATTGCACTTGGCGAAATTTGAAATAGCAATTGCACTTGGGAGCCAATTCTTCATAGCAATTGAAATTGGGAGCCAGTTCGAAGCAATTGCACTTAGGAGCCAATTCAAAAGAATTTGAAATAGCAATTGCACTTGGGAGCCAATTCTTCATAGCAATTGAAATTGGGAGCCAGTTCGAAGCAATTGCACTTAGGAGCCAATTCAAAAGAATTGGGAGCCGATTTCATAGCAATTGAAATTGGGAGCCAGTTCGAAGCAATTGCACTTAGGAGCCAATTCAAAAGAATTGGGAGCTGATTTCATAGCAATTGAAATTGGGAGCCAGTTCGAAGCAATTGAAATTGAGAGCCAGTTTCAGAGAAAAAAAAAATTGAAATCAATTGAAATTGGGAGCAAGTTTCACATGGGGAGCCAGTTTCATTCAAATTGGGAAGCAATTGAAAGCAACAGGAGCACATGAGGAGCCAGTTTCATTCAAATTGAGCAACAGGAGCAGTTTGGGAGCCAATTGCAAGTCAAAGTCAATTGGGAGCCAATTATGGAGAAATTCAAATTGGGTGCCAATTACAAGCCAATTGAAATTGGGTTTCAATTACAAAGGAGAAATTCAAATTGGGTGGAAGTTCAAAGCCAGTTTGAAGTCTGAGAACACCCAGACGTGAGAATGAAGAAGAAGATACAAAGACCACTCCAGAGCTGATTAGAGAAGCCATTCTACACCAAAACTGAGACCCAGATATTCTCACTCAAACGTTAAACCAGAGGAATATCAGATGAAGTTTGGAAGCTCATTTACATGGAGATGAAGCTCTAACAACGGCTAGCTTATCCTTTCTGACATCTTTGCAGAAGATAAGATAAGATCTCTGACAAAAAGATACAAGATTTCAAAAATTAGAGCGTCTCTTTCCAACGGACAGATTCTCATTACCAGCTATAAAATGATGAAGATATGAAGACTTGAAGATGGGGAAACATAGAGCATACAATAGAGCAAGAGCATAAAATTCGAATCCATAAAAGGGATCGAATAGAGCAATTAAGCTTGAAAGAGCATAGAGCAAAAATCTCATTTGGTACAGAGCATACCAAAAATCTTCAAGTGAGAAGTGAGAAAAGAAAAAGAACTTAGAGAGCTTCAAAGAAAATATTCAGAGTTCAAAAAGCAGAGCAAAGCAGAGCAAAAATATCAAGTGTTTTACTTGATATATTCAAAGAGAGAAAACACTCAGAGCTATCAAGAGAAATCATTCCAGAGTGTTTATCTTCATCAAAGAGACCTGCGCATCACTGAAGATCATCTACAGAGTCTCAGAAGTTGGAAGCAAGACAACACTTGTTTTGGAGCAAAACAAGAGAAGGGAGGAAAGTAGCACGGAGCTGTGAAATCCTGGATTGTCACACGGAGCTATGAGATCCGAAGCAGCAGTGTCGGAGGCACTGGGCGTGATTGGTGTGGGCTTGGTAATCAAAGCACCAGATCACGGGATACGTTTCTACCGGAGTGTGGAAGACGGGGGGAAAGTAACGCGGAGTCGTGAAATCCTGGGATAGTAGCGCGGCAACGTGAAACCCGAAGCAGCAGTGTGGTGTCACTGGGCGTGATTAGTGCGGGCTTTGTGATCAAAGCACTAGATCACGGAAATTCATTGTATCTTGGAACCAAGAAGTGGTAGATATAGTGAATTGCTCTTGGAGATAAGAGCAAGTGGAGTAGGAGGATTACACCACCTCGCGAACCACTATAATTGTCTTGTGTTCTTTACTGCTTTCTTTACTTACCGCTCTTTACATATTCGCTCTACACGAGATATACTGCTCACACAATCTCACACACACTTTATGTTTATTTATTTCCGCTGTGCACCATACTCTAACAATCTAGTTAAGAGTTTTGGTTTATCTCTGGCTTAGCAATTGTTGTGCTGTGCGAAAAAGTTTGAAAGTCTATTCACCCCCCCCCCCCCCCCTCTCTAGACTTTCACCTTACCTCTTTTGGGACCAACAAGATGAGAGAGATTATTGCTAGTGGAATCATGGTGCATGAGCGACCATTTAGCATCGTAGAGGATGACATGTTCATGTGGGCTTTTGAATATGCAAATCCAAATTTTAGAAGAGTCAGTCGTAAAACAGCAAGAAGTGATTGTTTGCAATTGTATGAAGTTGAAAAGAATACTTTGAAAAATATTTTGAATAATGTGAGTAAGGTTAGCATTACAACAGATATGTGGAAGTCAAGTCACAAAGTAGTTGAGTACATGGTTGTGACAGGTCATTCTGTTGATGCAAGTTGGAACCTTCAAAAGAGAGTTTTAAATTTTATCAAAGTGCCTCCTCCTCGACGGGGAACAAGTATAGCAAATGCTATTTTCAAGTGTTTGAGAGGATGGGGCATTGAGAATAAAATATTCTCAGTAACTATTGACAATGCATCTTACAATGGCTCTTGTGTTAGAAGTTTGAAAGAAAACATGTCATTGAGCAGTAAGTTAGTACTTGGTGGGCAACTTTTTCATGTTAGATGTTGTGCTCACATTCTAAATTTGTTGGTGCAAGATGGCCTTAACACTATTAAAGATGTCATTCACAATGTTCGTGAAAGTGTGAAATTTATAAATTCTTCAGATGCAAGGCTAAAGTCATTCCATGAAGTTGTTGAATTAAAAGGATTGAAAGAAATGAAACTTATTCTTGATTGTCCAATAAGATGGAACTCCACATTCTTGATGTTGTGTACTGCAAGTAAATTTAAGCATGCATTTTCATATTACAATGAAAAAGAGCCACATTATAAGTATGCACCATCATTTGAGGATTGGGACAAGATTGAGAAGGTTTGTAAACTTTTGGAGGTTTTTAATGATGCCACTCATGTCATCTCAGGTAGTGATTACCCTACATCTAACTTGTATCTAGTTGAAATTCAAAGGGTGAAAAAGGTTATTGATAATGCAGCTGAGTGTTTTGACATGTTCATGAGTGATATGGCAAAACCTATGAAAGCAAAATTTGACAAATATTGGGGTGAGTGTAATTTGTTAATGTCTATTGCATGTGTTTTAGATTCAAGGATGAAATTAAATGGTATTAAGATAATTTTTCCCTTATTGTATAAAACACCAAGTGATGTTGAAAGAATGTGGAGAATGTGAAAAAGGCATTAGAAGATTTATATCTTGATTATGTGAACTTGTATAGTCAAGATGCTTCTTCTACTAGTGGGCATAGTGAAGTCAATGTTGAAAGCAACACTCTGGTTGATGGTGGACAACAAATGGATAAAAGGATGCAAGAAATATTGAGTATGGTTTACCAAAGTCAATCAATTCCTCTTACGAAATCAGAGTTAGAGACTTATCTTGAGGAAAATCTTTTTATTCCTTCTTCTACTTCATCCTTTTGTGCCTTGGTGTGGTGGAAAAATAATAGTCCAAAGTTTAAAGTTTTGTCAAAGATGGCTTCTGATATACTAGTTATTCATGTTTCAAGTGTGGCATCTGAATCCACATTTAGTGCTGGGGGAAGAGTCATTGATGAATATCGTGCTAGCTTAAATGAGGAATCTATTGAAGCTCTTATTTGTGGTATGGATTGGCTTCATAACAAGTATGGGCTGAAGAAAAAACAAAAGGTAAGAATCTACTTATTACTTTAATAATATTTTATATTATTTTATATTACTACTTTTTACTTTAATATTTATGGTTTATGATTTATGAATTATGAGCACTTGAACTTGTAATGGACTGCATTATTTATTCTCAATTTTTTTTTTTTATTGTGTAGGAGAATTCTGGACAAGAGGAGATTATGTTGAAGCCATGTTCTTGCATTCTTCGGACTTGAATCTCTGAGGCTGTGAGTCGCCGAATCGGGAGGGAAGTTTTGTGGTTGGTGGGCGGTGGGAGAGGTAACAGTGGTGGTTGGTTATCTAGGTGTGGCTTGGTTTGGTTTTCAGGAGCAGCACTGGAAGATCTCCCAGACATATTAACTTTGGAATATACTAGGCGCGTATCCTGGAGTTTTTCTTCAACTAGTTTAGCCAAAGCTATTGCGTCGGATATGGTAGTAGGTTTGTATATAGCTAACTCACTCTGTATCATTGGTTTTAACCCGGAGATAAAACAATCCAATAGCGCTTCTGGGTGTAGATCATGAACCCGATTGCTTACCGCTTCAAACTTAGTTTGATAAGCTGAGATAGTTGTCTTCTGGGTTAATTTAAAAAGGGTGGCGCGATGGTTCACATACGTGGAAGGCTCGAATCGTTGTTCGAGTGCGTGGGTGAATGCTCTCCAAGAGGAAAGTTGCTGGCTCTTATACATCCATTGGAACCAAGATAGTGTTTGCCCGACCATGTAGAAACTGGATATATCTATCTTCTACTCTTCCATGATGTCCCAAAGGCTAAAATATTTTTCAGCCTGGAAGATCCAGTCTAGCGGGTTAGAACCATCAAAGGTGGTCATATCACACTGGAGAGGACGCGGTTGCTGCAAAATAGACGAAGTCTGATATGGGTTACTTGGATTGACACGGGGTGGTGGTGAGGAAGGTGGCGGGGTGGAAGATGAAGTTGGTACGGCATTTAAAGTAGTGAAGCGAATAGACAGTTCTGTGATGGCACTATTGAAAGCCTCTGTTAAAGCTTGGTTCTATGTGGCCATGGTTTGCCGAAGCTCGTCTGTAAGTTGTTTCTGGGACTCACGCATTTGCTCTTCAAGAGCCCGTTGTCTGGTTTGTATCCCTTCATTGGTCATGCTTACCTCTCAATGAAAGCACCAAATTATTGGGGATGTGTGTTTTTCAAGTGTTTTGTTGTTCACTTTAGAGGATGAACAGCCTCCAGAATAGAAAAAAGAAGGAGAAAGAGAGACTAGAGTTCAGGTAGATGAAATATTAGAATTCAGGGTGACGCCCTCTGTTTCATTAACGAAGGAATTTATAGTTTATTACATTCTAACCACTCCCTAATAAATATGCTATTTATTTGGCTCTAATTACTCTAGCAACAGAGACTGTAATTAAAATGTAGAGAATGAGTAAATTGCATGTCCTAAATATTAGGGTCTTCAACTGCAGATGTAGTCACGTAGCTTTAGTGGCGTTGAAGTCTTCCTCTTAGGCCTCCTTTCACTAGCTGCATGCGTATCATTCTGTCATCCATTTTCTTGGGTATACATATGAGAAAAAACAACACCAAACTTCAAACCGTATAAATGGTCCATACAAATACTTGTTCACCATCCTACCAATTGCATTGATATCATCCAAACACCTATCAAGTTAATGAGTTTGCATAAACATTTGAAATAATGAACCCATTTGCCATCTTGGCTTTTGATTTTAATGATTTTGTCGCAAGCCCTTCTTTCTTTAATATTTCTACTTCTTCATGTTTTAATGTTAGATAAACAGAAAGTGATAAACTAATGAATGATTTATATATGTCATGAAGCTTTTGATGATGGATTCTAGTCAATGCTTGTTGATATGCCTGGAGATCGAAGATCAACCAAGGGGTAAGCTTAAAAAAATAAGAGAACAACGGAAGATTGAAAACTGAAATGGACAAAAAACCAACTAACATTTTCTTCTCTCTCTTTTTTTTCATGATAATTAACCCAGCACCCAGATTAAGAAGTGAAGAAAACAGTAAATAGAATCTATGCAGCCTTGTAAAGGTCACCATTAGCACAACTTCCTTGTAAGTCGATGTTGCTTCAATTCAACAGAAACAAAAGGGAACGACTCCAATATTTTCTTGAACATCCTCATCCAGAGCAACCGCATAATTGCAAACTCCATTGTCTATTGAAGCTTTCGATCTCTTTTTTTTTTTTTCCTTATTTTGTTGCTTCATTTCCTTAAGACGAAAGCCATTGTTGAAATTTAGTGCAATGTACTGATATTTTATCTTTATTATTATTGTCTCAATTATTTTTTTTTAGTCTAGTCTTTAGTCTGTTATGGTCCTCATCTGTTATGGTCTTCCTTTTGTTTAGAACTATGCTATTATTTAGGAGTAATAATTTATTATAACTTTTAGTTACTGGAAATAGAAAAGATTCTCTTTATGTCTTATCTGCCAGTAGTGCATATGTTGAAAATGCAGGTGAAAACTCAAGTGCTGCGTTGTGGCATGCTCGATTGGGCCATGTCGGTTATCAGTTGTTGCATAAAATTTCAACGAACAAACTTCTTGATGGAATTCCTCTCTTAAAGGGAATTCGTCAAGATGTGAACTTCTTGATGGAATTCCTCTCTTAAAGGGAATTAGTCAAGATGTGGTTTGTCCAGATTGTCAGTTTGGAAAATCACATCATTTTCCTTTTCCAACCTCGAAGAACAGAGCCATTGCTGTGTTGCAATTAGTGCATTCGGATTTGTTGGGACCGACAAAAACGCCCAGTTATTTTGGGTTTCATTATGTAATGGTTCTTATTGATTATTTTCCCATTTCACTTGGATATTTTTCTTGAAATACAAAAGTGAAGTCTTCTTTAAATTTGTTCAATTTAAGGAGCATGTGGAAACTGAATTTGGAATGAAAATAAAGTGCCTGCCTACAGACAATGGGGGGGAATATAGTTCTGCGGAATTCATGAGTTTCTGTAGTAGTCATGGAATTAAACGTCAAATGACATGTCCGGAGACTCTTTAACAAAATGGAGTCGTTGAGCGCAAGTTGGCACATCTCATGACTATATGTTTGTCTTGGTTGCATGTAAAGAACCTTCCACGAGAGTTATGGGCTGCAGCTGTTGAATCCGCTTGTCATGTTGTGAACTGGATACCTCCCTAGCCATGTACAGAGAAATCTTCTTTTGAAGTTCTATACCATTGCAAACAAAATGTAAGTTATTTTCAGGTTTTTGGCTCAATTTGTTATGTCCATATATTGAAAATGCATCGAAGTAAACTTGACCCGAAGGCGAAGCGATGCATTTTTGTTGGTTATGATGCTCACAGGAAAGGTTGGAGATGTATGGACCCAGAAACGAAGAAAGTTGTCATCTCTCGTGATGTGGTGTTTGATGAGATTTCATCACATCAAAGTAATGATGATGAGAATAGGATGTAATTGATCTTTCACATTTTCTTGATGTTGATGAATCTTGTTGCAGAGATAGTAATAATGTTTCTTCAGGGGAAAATATACAACAAGGTGGAGTCTCAAATGTTTCTTCTGGAGAAAATATCCAGCAAGGTGTGGTCCCAGAGGTTGTTGTTCGGAGGTCCTCCAGACAAAGAAAACAACCTAATTATTTCTCTGACTATGATGTTCAATTAAATTGTTGCACTATTTTGTCCAGTTTTTTGTTAGGTGATTCTTTTGAAGAACCTAAAACTTATAAAGAAGCTCAAGGTATTTTTGAGTGAGAAGAAGCGATAGGGATGAAATACGGGCACTTAAAAAAATTGCACATGGGAACTTGTTCGAAAATCGGAGGGTGTTGATCTAATTACTTGTAAATGGGTCTACAAGTTAAAGAAAAAAGTCGATGGTTCTGCTAAGAGGTATAAAGCCCGTCTTGTAGCTCATGGCTTTTCTCAAGCATACAGTCAGGATTATGAAGAGCTTTCAGCCTTGTTGCTAAAATGACCACAATTCGGATGTTGTTTTCTTTGGCTGCTTGCAAATATTGGAAGTTGTGGCAACTAGATGTAAAGAATTCCTTTCTTTATGGGGAGTTAGATCGCGATATCTTTATGGAGCAGCCAATGGGTTTTGTCTCTAAAACCTTTCCGGTTATGTCTATCGTCTCAAGAAGGCTTTGTACGGCCTCAAACAAGCACCACGTTCCTGGTTCGGTAAAATTGCTCAATACCTTGCGTTTTGTGGTTTTAAATCTTCTTATGCAGATTCAAGTTTATTTGTTAAGAAGACTTCATCTGGTAATACAATGCTCCTTCTATGTGTTGATGACATGATCATTACTGGCGATGATAGTGTTGAAATTCATCATCTTCAAGATGCTTTGTTTCTTCGTTTTGAAATGAAAAAGTTAGGAGAAGTAAATTGTTTTCTTGGTCTCGAAGTTAAAAGAACATATGGTTATTTTGTACCGCAAAGAGGATATGTAGCAAGGTTATTAGATCGGTTTGGTATGAGTGAGTCAAATGCAATGACTACTCCTATAGAACCTGGTTTAAAGTTAACTAAAGATAGAGGGAAAAAACTAGAAGATGCAACTCTTTTTTGTCAGCTTGTTGGTAGCTTATTCTATTTAACTATTACAAGGCCTGACATTTCATACTCTGTAGGTGTCATATCTCAGTTTATGACAGAACCGCATGATAGTCACTTTGTTGCAGCTAAGAGAATTCTTCGTTATGTTAAAGGAACTTTGAATCTTGGGTTATTGTATAAACCATGTGCACCATTTCTTTTGAATGGTTTTGTTGATGCAGATTGGGCGAGAGATGTCAATGATAGACGTTCAACGACAGGTTATTGTTTTAATATAGGATCAGCTGCGATATCTTGGTGTAGTAAGAAACAAAGTACAGTTGCACTTTCTAGTTGTGAAGCTGAATATGTAGCGTCTACCATGGCTACTCAAGAATGTATTTGGCTTAAACAGCTTATTACAGAGATGCTTAATGTTGTGGATTATTTGGTTCCTATTTAGTGTGACAATGAAAGTGCCATCAAGCTTGCAGGAAATCCAGTGTTTCATGCCTGTACAAAACACATTGATACTGATTACCATTTTGTTCGGGAGAAAGTCTTGACTCAAGATATTCAATTGCATAAAATACATACCAAAGATCAGATCGCTGATATATTTAAAAAGCACTTGGCAAGGCAAAGCTTGAAACTTTCATGAGTGCTCTGAGTGTGGTTGACAATGCGTTTACAATAATAGGGAGTGTTGAAATTCAGTGCAACGTACTAATATTTTATCTTTATTATTATTGTCTCAATTATTATTATTTTTAGTCTGGTCTTTAGTCTGTTATGTTCTTCATCTGTTATGGTCTTCCTTTTGTTTAGAATTATAGCTATTATTTAGGAGAAATAATTCATTATGTATTTAAGCTGCTTGTCTATGCAGTTTTGATAGTAAGAAAATAAAGAGCAGCGTTATCTTCTTTACTCCTTGTTTTGTACATCCCACACACACACACACACACACACACACACACACACACACACACACACACATACACACACACACACACACACACACACACACACACATATATATATATATATATATATATATATATATATATATATATATATATATATATATATTTTTATTTATTTATTTATATTTATATATTTATATATTTATATATTTATATTTATATATTTGTTTTAAGCCATGAAGTATTGATGCATGGTTTGGCACTATTAAATGGGAAAAAAAGGGAGAAAGTTGGTCGAATTATATTTTTGCCCTTAATTTGATGGTCAACAAACAAACATATTAACAGAGGACTAAATTCGGTAAAGATTGCATAGTTGAGGACTTAATTAGATATAAATGGTAGTCAATGACCAAATTAGTAATTACGGCATAATCAAGGACCATTTTGGTTATTAACTTTTTGAAATATTAATAGTCAATAACCAAATTTGATACACGTACAATAGTCAAGGGACCTAAAGCAAAAGAATTTCTATGTAATACTCCATATTACTTTTCGGTGGTTGTTAATGGAGATTTTAAGAAGGAGAGAGAGTTAAAGTGTGGGCAAGACAAATTTTATAGGTCGTTTGGTTGTAAAGAGAGAATTAGAGGGGAAAATTATAATTCCATGGAAAAAGAATAAAGTGAAAATAAAGTAAAAATTTAAATTCATTATTCAGTAAGAAGGAATAAAATTACTGAAATTTTCAATTATAGTGTTTGGTATATATGAGAATTGAAAAGAAATCATTAGTATAAAGATCAAAATATCAATACAATTACAATTCCTAAGAAAAAAGTAGGATACTATAATTATTAGGGAGAAATTTGATCCTCATGCTACAAATTTTTTACTCATATATTATAGAATTACAATTTCTTGAAGCGAGGTGAGATTTGCAATTTTTTAATTTTCAAAAAAAAAAAATTGAGAAATTGTAATTGATAAGAATTACAATTCTCCCCAACTAAATTCTAACATCTTTTATTTCTTAGAATTAAGTAGAAAAATAAGCACAATTCCTCTCGGCCAAACAGCCAAGTTAATTGCAAATTACACGTGAGTACGTGACTTTACCGGATAAGTATGGTCTATTCTTAGTTGAGGACAAAGGACTTAACCCCCATTTCTAAAATTTTTGTTTTTACTCAATAATAATGGCTGAAACTCATATACAAGCGGTAGAATCAGAGCCTGAAAATGAAGCCACTCCTCTGCTTCTCACAGAGCAAACCGAAAACCCTGAAAATCCAGAAGGCAAAGCAGCAAATTGCACCTATCCTGATGACACTCATCTAGCCAAAGCCCTTGAAAGACTGGAATTTTTTCTGATTCTACTGGGATTCAACCAATCCTCAGTTCCGAGGCTCGTGCTCTCTTGGGGTTTCTTTTCTGTGCTTGCTTTGGCGCTGCCGCTGCTGATTCTTCAGCTCTCCGATTGCGCAGCTTGTGAGGCTGCTCAAATCAAGAGCTTTGAGATTGGTATCGTGATTTCCCAGGCTTGCCTTGCTGCTGCTGCCCTCCTTTGCCTTTCCCACAATTTGCGCAAATATGGTGTCCGGAAGTTCCTGTTCGTGGACCGCTACGCCGGCCATGAGGAGCGCTTCAGTCAGCAGTATATTCACAAGATCTCTGTGAGTAAATTGCTTCGCTTCGCTGCTGTTTCTACATACTCAATTCTTCAATGTTTGTAATCAGTGATATGTTTATGAGTGTGTGTGTTATTCTTGTTTGTATATCTTCTGAATGATCTGTTAGTTGTACCAACTATTTTTAAGATCATTCGCTTACCACTATGCAAAAGCTATAGCCTGTAGTGAGTTGGGTGTGGGAGTTGGCTCGCCCTTCACGGGCCCTAACCCAACACGGTGCTAGACTTGGCCCTTCACCGCCCTTTGCCCAACAAGATCAAATAGGAAATAAAGAACATATTTGTATTCAAATCTGTCCCTTGGGGCTTAGTGTTGTTGGTTCGTAGCTTGACTTAAAAGGTCATGACGGGAGGCGACAGTGTGGGGTTCGAATCCCACTGGAAATCTGGAATCATGTATGTGAAAAAGGTCCAAGGATGCTGGAAGGTCTGGATTGGATCCCTTGTGCGCACATGAAGATTAGGATTTGACTGGTGGGATTGGATCCCTTGTGCGCACATGAAAACTAGGATTTGACCGATGGGCTGATTGCGCGAAATGAAGATTAGGATTTGAACGGTGGGATTGGATCCTTGTGTGCACATGAAGACTAGGATTTGACTAGTGGACTGATTGCACAATTCGCAATTTACCTCAGCAGAGGCTCTAGGGGCGGGGTCCTATGGACTTAGGATTAATTCGACGAAGTTGGTATCACTTAAGTTTTTTTTTTTTTTAAAAAGAAAAAGAAAAAAGAAATCAAACTTGTATTATGCAGTTCCAATCCCTCATCAATGAAAGATGAAAGCAGATAGCTATATAGATATAAGAAATCAAAAGCACTTTTAGTACAATGGTTTTAACTAATGTTCACATAAGAGATTATGGTTTATGTATGGAATTCAGCTTAGTGTGCTTAAACCTTAAATGCAATAGTGCATATATTCCAGTGATTAGTGAAGTTGTGGAATATCAGCCTTGATTTCTGCTTCATGTGGTTATTACCTGTGCTTAAACCTCAAACCCTACTGGGAATTATTCAAATAATACAATTTATGTCAATGCAGGAACTTCAAAACTTGAAACAAAATTGAAGAGAATCTAAAATTCAAATTCTGTTTTCGTCTCAGTTCTATATTGACGTTTTGGACCCAAATTTTTTAGATATCTAAAATAATAGGTTTGCTCACAATCTAAATTGAAAGCAAAAATTTCTGTTGTTATTTGAAATTATAAATCTAACCCAAATTTAATTTACTGTAAAGTCTGAATTATTCTTAGGTCATCAAAGTAATTTTGATATCCAAAGTCACTTCAAAGCAGGCGTAATCTAACTCAATGGCCACCACTGCTCAATACCATTTCCACTAGCATTGTTATTTTTATTATGTGAAGAAAGCAATAAGATTTCAAAATAACTTCATATTTTATAAATTGAAAATAATTGAATTTGAACATATTTTATAGTTCTTTTTTTTTTTTTTTTGGGTAGAACATGAAAACTTGAAAAACGTTTTATAGCTGAAAGTGTAGAATAGAAAACATTTTTTGCAACTAAACATGCGAAGATCCTATAAATGAAAGGAAGTGAATTGCCCTTCTATATCCTTAGAGTAGGCTCTTACCTGATAATACTACCTTCTTTACTTCTGGCCGAGATTAATAGTTGTTATAATCTAACATTGGGCGAAGGTCACTCATCTAGGCTATAATGCACATGGGCCAAACCACACTAAAAGATTAAATCCAATCCCATATGTTCTTTCTTATTTTATCAATGTGGGATTCTTAACAATAGTTCAAACTGACAACCTTGAGTCTAGAGTTTATTACTCTTCAATTCTTGGATTGACTGACTTGAATGGTTTTTCTAGTTTATGGCTTATGCAAATCCTCAATTTAATATGCGACTTGGAAGTTGTATCTGTTTTTTGCTATTTTGCAGGGTTCTCTCCGCTTGCTAGTGTTGTGGGTACTGCCATGTTTCATTTTGAAGACTGCCCGTGAAGTTTTCCGCATTTTATATGTCCATCGTGGATCATGGTGGGAATCTGCTGCTATCTTATTGGCTTTTCTTTTGTCATGGACTTACGTTACGGTAGTTTTCCTGTCAGCCTGTGTTTTATTTCACCTGGTCTGCAATCTTCAAATTATACACTTTGATGACTATGTGAAGCTCTTGGAAAGAGAACCTGATGTTTCATTATTAATAAACGAGCATGTTCTTCTCCGGTACAATCTCTCAAAAATAAGCCACAGATTTCGAATGTATCTTCTACTGGAATTTGTTATTGTTACTGGGAGTCAGTTTGCAACTCTCTTCCAAACTACAGGATATACCGGGATTATAACTTATGTGAACAGCGCTGATTTTGTGGTAAGACTAGACTTTACTACTGCATTTCCTTTATTATGTTTGCCTACTATCTGCTTTAATAGTTGCAAAAACTGTAAAGCACAGAAAATAAGAACTTGATTGAAATTTTCCTATAAACAAACACTTCAATTTCACCACCCATTGCTTACTTAATCAGTTAATCTATCCTAGTCCTCCTAGTCCTAGAAGCAACTTCATAAGAGGACATATATCTGCTTTAATAGTTTCTTATTTGTTTTGGTTTGAGAAAATTTCACTTTTGGTCCCCTGACTATTATACATGAATCATATTTGGTCCTTGATTATTAAAATTTTCTAATTAAGTGCATGACTATGTAATTTGTATTTCATTTGGTCCTGTCGTCCAATTTCCCGGTCAACTATTGCCGGAAGTGCTCCTTCTGAAAGAAGCAAATGTAGTGCTCTTCTAGAAGTGCTCCTTTCGGAAGAAGCAAATGCAGTGCTCCTTCCGGAAGGAGCACTT